TCAGGAGATCCGCGTCGTGAGCGGCATTCGCACCGAAACCTAAGTAATCCAACGTACATATGTATATACAAGGACACGAATTGACTGTGAAATGCTCTGTTAGTTTTTGGTAATCACAGCAACGCTGATTTCCTGACCAACACTCAAAATGGGTTAAAGTAACTTGACTTGAGCTTTCAATAAAAGACATTTCGTTACCTTTCTTGTTGTCCTTATAGGAGTAGTAGTGAGTGGTTTAGTAGTAGTGATAGTGCTCAGCTCAGTGGTGGTAGTTATCCTTTCGGTTGTAGTAGTCGGTTCAATTCTTCGCTTTGTAGTTGTTGTTGTGGCCCTCGTGGTTCGCTCAGTAGACGTGATCTGTTCGCTGGTGGTGCGGGTTAGCGGTGAATGTGTGAAGCTCGGTCGTGAGGTAGTATGAGTTAGAGTACTTGGTGCATCGGTTAGAGTTGTGCTGGTTGTGAGCGCACGTACTGTGTTTGCTCTGTGATGCTTCCACACTTGTGGAGCACGTGTGGATACAGGAACTTCGGTTTCATCCTCTTCTTCATCAACATTCTGGGCGGTATTCGGATGGCTTCTTGCTGAAAATGAAATTTATTAACGGTACTGTTGACTAAGGATGCTGAAACCTAGTTGTAATGAATTATGTTAGGTTCATGCGGAACGGAAATCCAATGACTGGGCGAAAAAAGTAGATACGAATCGATTGGCTAACATTCGGCAAATCTCCCATTCTCCCGAACTGTGTTAAAGGCGAGGCACAGCTGGACGACGTGGGGGGGCATTTTGCACATGATTGTTTCACTAATTCCGGTTAACCAGTCTCGCTCTGGTGAAACCTGTAAACTCTTGTGAAGCTGGAGCAAGTTCGTCGAGCCGCGCTATGGCAAATGGCCTTTTGAATGGTATCGCATTTGTTTCACAATCTGCCAAGTACTCTTTACAAGAAATGGCAGGTGGACTATGGAAACTTTGGATGGTACCATTTCGAGGCTTTACAAGTTTCCACAGACTTCGCTTGATGAATAGACAATGGGACTAGCAAAAGTACAAAATGCCCTTTCCCGTCGCCGAACTGCGCCACCAGTCACTTTGTATTTGGCTCTTCTCTCGACAGGGTACAGCATCGTGATGTGTGAAATGGTACGACCTCCCCCTTCGAGTAGGTGTCAGTACGCCCCTCCCCTTCCTCCACCTAAAAAGGTCTCATTACGACTCTCTCCCCTCCCCCCGCCTTCCCCACCACCTACCTGGGGGGGGGTACATATACGAACTTCCGCTCTCTCCCAACGATCAAAAACGATCGTGACCCCCCCCCCTCCGCAAAACTCTCTCAAACGCAACATCACTCCCTCTCCCAGCGACCAAATACGACCTCCCCTCTACCCAGCGGAAAGTACGCCCCTATGTGTTTCACACAACGATGCTACCCTGCCTCTCCAATCCAGTCGTCTTAACTAGTATTTTTCCAGCAAGTCCACGTACTTTCTGACTCTTCACTTCAGTACAGATACAAGCTAATTTAGTTTCATGAAGTGAATGAGCAGCAGCATGCTTTTTGACTTTCTTCCAAAAAAGTACAGGTTGTGGGCAAAGCTGCTGGACTCGATTGCAGCCTTTTAGAACTTTACTGTGCTCTAGCGTACAATGTCCTGCCCGTCTGAGGCCGTGTGTAGCGGCTACCTATCCCGTGTAGACTAGCCGGGTCCCGTCTCCCGACTGCGCTATTTTCATGGTGCTGATAAAGAATCCTGCAGCGAAACACGCACTCAGCGACAGAGAACAGTCATAAGAGCGCAGAGAAGTAGAGCGCTTGGCTAGTGTAAGGGATGTGGCTGGCCGTGCAGCTCGGAGTCGGAAAGCAGCACTCAGGTGTCACGGCCTCTTCCCCCCCCCGGCCCTTCAGCACCTATTCACCTCGCACAAAGCAAAAACCAGGATAAGTGTACACTTTGAACCCCGACCTTAACTTACTGTAATGCGCTCGACCTATGCTACGTTACTTCAGGCATGCAAGGCGAGGTGAGGCTGGTCCCCAATATGTTGAAAAGCGGGACCACCATAAGCTACTGA